AAAATATATTGAAAAAAAATTTAATAATATTTCCGCTTGGTTGTAAGAAAGAAAAGGCGGTAAAGAGTGAATAAAAATATCGCAGAACTTGGAGCAGAACTCCGCAGCTTATCTTTCATTATCTTATCAGATAAAAAAATATATTATATATTACTTAGACAAGAGTATGTAAGACTACAATGGGAAGGGGTGTGAGAGGGAGAGAAGGGGTTTAAAGACAGATTGTGAAAGAGAGCGAGGGAGAGAGAGAGAGAGACAGAGACAGACAGACAGAGAAAGATAGAGATAGAAAGAAAGAAAGAAATAAAGAGAGAGAGAGAGAGAGAGAGAGAGAGAGAGAGAGAGAGAGAGAGAGAGACAGAGACAGACAGACAGAGAAAGATAGAGATAGAAAGAAAGAAAGAAATAAAGAGAGAGAGAGAGAGAGAATTTTCTTTTATTAACTAATTTTCTTTTTGTCAAAAAACAGAATAAAGAAGAAAGGTAATTAGTTGTCTAATACGTCTCTTTGACAGCGATGTATTTAAATAATAATAAAAAAAATACTTGATTGATACTTGATTTTATTATACAAAAACAATTACAATTGATTTTTTTTTTTGGAAACTTTTTTTCCGTTGTGCTACTGTGTGATTCGGTTTTTGTCATCTAGCCTTGAGTTGGTTTTTCTTTATATTATAATTTTAATTTTTAAAAAAGGAAGATATATATTTTTCAAGAGATTCTCCAAAAAAATTGGTTACAAAAAAAATTCAGATCACTTTATTTCACTTTACGTCACTTTATTATCACTTTATATTAATCGAGTTTCTTTTCGAGCTTTTTTAGTTATTTATCGGTTTAGCCTAAGGCGGCTAGGACTATTAAACCGATGTATTGGTTTTCGTTTCGGCATTATGACTGGTTCCGTTGGTGGCAGTTATTGTGTTATTAGTATCGGTTCCTGATATTATTGTCGTCTTGGCAGCATTGCTTTTTATATCGGCCTTTTTCTGCGATTCCAGTTTATCGGTAACTGGGGGTGTAGGCTCTTCTGTCTGCTCTCGGGTGTCGATATGTTCCGCGCCATTGTTAAATTCTCTACCGTCAAACTCATCGTTAAGCTGTGGATTTATTTGTGCCTCAGAATCGGGACCAATATCGGTATTTAAGGTGGCGCCTGTAACAACAACAAACAAGAACAAGAACTAACTTTTAGCTTCTTCTTTTTTTGTGAAAAAAAAAAACAAATAATAAAGGAACTGGATAGAGGAAAGAACTGAACAAGAGAGAAATTAATTTTGATTTACAGAAAAAAAGAAAAAAAAGATAATGCTAGGGTTTGTTAGTATCTAAGATGCCAATATTTTTTTTTTGTTTTCACTAAATGTGATCCAATTTCTTACAAAAATTAAAAAGATAAGTTTTTATAATGAAAGCTTAAATGTTAGCTCTTGTTTTTTTATTGTTGTTGTCTTAAAGGGATTCCAGTTTTTTTTTCTTTTTTTTTTTCATGTTTGTATACAGCTTTTAGTTTAAGCAAAAAAAAAATTTTAATAATCGAGTGTTAAAGAATGTAAGTGCAAGCGTTTTTTTTAACTAAATAAAGCGTCGGCCAGCAAGTGATTGCTTTTCATTTTAAAATAAAAGGGGCTCGTGTTTTTTTTTAGCTTTATTTTCATAAAAAAATATTATATAAGCAATTGTTTATTACAAAACCATTTCATATCTAACAAAATGTTTTACTGAAACTTAATTTTAGCAATATTCTGTAAACCTACAAAGTTTCAAAGAAATAAAAGAATAAGTGAATGGTGTTCTTAAGTAGTTCAACCTCTGAATTTAATGAATTCACCGAATTTGCGTTGATCTACACTTTGATTAGTTGCCTTTAGTTCATGGACTTACATTATTTGCTAAGGTTTTTTGCAAAAAAAGTTAATGAATATTGAGCAAGAACGTTATGTTCGGCTGTCGCCGAATCTCTTATACAAGCCATCGTTATCTTCAAGACGCAGCCCAAAGAAAAGTTTAATAAAAGAAAATTTCGGTATTGGCTAGGCGTGGCCAAACATTTCAATTTCTACAACAGAACTGTGGCACTATTGATAAAATGTACACAGAACTTTTATTTGTTGCAGGTGCTGTAACTTATGAGCAGCAAAACTATTTTTTTTTTTTTTTTGAAAGCAGAGTTGTACTCAGCTTAAGTCACACTTTACGTATGTCATTTTAGCCACCCTACATGCAAGTGCTTTCAATGTTTGTGTTACAGTTTACGTCCATGTTTTAATAGGAACCCATGTTTCCATACACAAGCGGACAGACGGATATGCTTATGTCCATTTAGATTTTGATACTGAGTAAGAATACGTTTTATTGTCTTTTTCTAGGTCACTCTTCTCTTCTTCTTTCAAACTATTTGAGGGAAGGGACATGCCCAATCCTTGTTGGCTCTATAAAGATTTTTATCTCATAGATGAATGTGCGAAAGTTGTAAGTCATTATTGTTGGTGCTAAACGGATTTATTTTTTTAGTATTGTGTGATGAAATTGAAAGAGATTTCCTATAAAATCTAGTAAATTTAGACCACAGTTTGTTTATATCTCTATTTCCGTCTACAGAAGGGATCTCATAAAATTCATTTGTGCAGATTTCTTTCCATTTCTTTACTAAAAGTTCTTAATTTCTACTAGTGTTCAGTAGAATATAATTTTTTCGAATATTTTGCAAAAACCCATAACGATCTCTTAAAAAACACGAAGCCCTAACCACAATCATTTATGCGGGTTTATTTGCATTTTTTTATCTTTACCAATAGGATCCATACTATTTAGACTATAAAATATCTTCAATCGACTTTGTTTGTAGTTGCAAGTGGCTGCTGCTAAGTTGCTTGTTACAACAAATTCATTTTCTTTTTATCCATTAATGTTTGAAAAGGCTTTCAAAGTTGTTTTTTTATTGTTGTACGGAACATATTTTAATGGAATAAATGTACATGCGTGTACGTATACTATACGAAAATATAAATACCCACTTAAGTATCAAAATAAAGAGTTCTTAAAAAAATTTAATTAAATTCATCTTAAAAAAGTTTTATAAGTAGACTTTGCAATAATAAGATGTTGTTACTATTCGGGATAGTGAACGAAATACATATTTCTCACATCAACACAGCCATAGGCGCATGTATAGACACCGTAAATATTGTTATGAAAATTGCACATTTATCTGTTTGGGGATCAGCTAACTTTGTAGACAACGGAGTTCCGGAGGAAGAATACAGGCAAACGGATAGAAGCAAATAAAAATTTGTGATGCTTCAGTTACTGTTGTTGGAACAAAGGAATGCGCCTTATGAAGCTGGTGGTTGACAAGGAGATTAATAAAAATTCAGAGTGACAGGCTTATGAGCAGAGAATTTTCTGAAATCAAAAGTTATTGTCGTATCGTGACATTTGAAGAGAAAGGTCGCTCAACTGTGTTTGAACTCGATACAATGAACTGTTATACTAAACTGAAATGCTAAAATCCTACTTTCTTCCCGCCTTTAAATATTCCCTCTGAAAATGTAAAGGAAAGCGTTTTATTTAACTGAGCCCTATATACCGAAACCTAGTTTTCAGCATCAGGAACTTTGGCTTCATAGGAGAAGAGTTGTCTAGAACACCTTAGCAAATCTAACTTAAAATGTTCTAACCTCCGCTCTATTACCACCAGACGTTACACTGCCCGATTAATACGGCTTCGAATGGATGACTTATTGTTTGCTTAAACTGTACCCTCCATTTCTAAAACGACACTCAATTATGGGTTCTTTTGTTGACTGCTTCAAAAGATCAGATATTTTTTCGCAGTGGCGTTTGTAAACTGGCTGAGAGGTGGAGAGGTGGTTGTAATTTATAAAGGATTTTGTAAATAGAGCTAAAGAGTAAGCAATATTGTTTACTGCTAAAAAAATAGAAGCAATGGTTCGCCTGACCATTGTCTCCTTATTCTTTAATTTGATTTCTCGTTTTGTTGACTAATGATTCCAGGAAAATTGGCAGGAAAAATATGCACTCAAGTTTGAATAAGATTTTCCTCAATTTTGTTTTCTTTGAGAACTCATGAGTAATTAGCAAAAAGTAGTAAAATTTGAATTGTTATTATCTGCATATATATTCCTTTTTTTTTAAAATGTCCAGAAAATTTTTATATTTTCAAATTTGTTTTGCGTAAAATTGTTTTTGTTTCAACAATTACTTGAGTATTTTCTAATTTTTTATGCTATTTAAATTATGTTTCAAAACGAAGTGCTATCCATATGCCTATGGCTGTACATAAAAAAAAAACAATGTGCACGTATATACATCCTTTTTATATATAGAAGAGAAAAAAGTTTCGAGCTTACGAAAGGGAGAAATTATTTATGAATTTTGAACACTTTAAAAGAAATCAGATCGACAAGGAGGGGATGAATGCAGCGGAAGAAGAAGAAGCACGGCTAAAGCGAACGAGAAAGCACGTAGAACGTAAAAAATACGAGATTTATAAGGTTTGTAGGTTACTGCTGAGAAAATTAAAAGCGAAGGGGAATATTTTACACATCGTGCAGTTAAAGGTGCAGAGCTTTAAAATCGCATTTTGAACGAAAATACTTCATACCACGAAAGGTGTTCGATGTGGGTTTCTAAACGTTACAATACATCTCTATACATGGAGGAAAGGAATGAAAAGCGCAGAAATGCCGATCTATCTCACAAAGAATTTGTTATGCAACTTTCTAATCAGTGTTTACAGACTTCGCGTATCTGAGGATAAATGTCTGAAAAAGGTGCAATGAAAATTTTTCACAAATTTTTACGTCGTTATTAACCGAACTGTGGAAGACAATAAACTTGTTTTCCTTTTCTAACATATGTGTAGGAACGTTATGAGAATTACATTGAATATCGGAGTTTTCTTAAGGGTTATAGAAGAGATTAACATTTCCATTTGTTTTATTCATATTTGGTTAATTGGTTTCCTTTCTTACCTGCAAAACACCATCGGCCGGTAGCGCGGGCAAAAAGTACTAAAAGTACAATTAAAACCAAAACAGCTAATGCAACCACAATACCAACGATGGCTCCGATTTCTAAGCCAGCCGAGGGGGGTGTAGCTGATGAGCTGATGCGTACGGTATAGTCGGTGGAGCCTAAAGCATTTGTTGCTCTCATTGTGTAAATTTTGGTAGTATCTTCCAATGTAAGACCGGCTATGACCAGAGTAACGTTGTAAAAATCATGACCCAAGTATTCAGGTTCAAAAGCTGAAAAGCGTCCACTTTGTTCACCTTGGCGTATAACATTACCGTCGATTGCCCACTCTATCACTGGGGTGGGATTGGCTCGTATAGTCATATTCACTTTGACTGTGTGTTCTAAATACAAGCCGTAGACTAAAGTTTCAGGCATACGTAAGGGCGAGTCTGCCAAACATAAGCAAAGAAGATAAAAAAAAAACAAAATTGATGAGAGGAATAGCAAATAGAAAGCGTTTGCAATAAGCTTACATCTTACTAACAATTCGTAGGCACCTTCTTGAGGCGGTGCATTGTCAGGATCGGTCTGATGATGTGAACGGCACACTAATCTCCGACCATTATCCTCGGCCGCTATATCCCATTGAATGTCTTGTATGGCGGTAAACAATTCCAGACCATTTTCACGAGGTGAAGCTAGCACTTCGAGTTGACCGACTCTCTTGGCGGCAGGCTCATTATCGAGCAGCCAAGTAATATTTGCAACAGGACGTCCATCGCGCACTATACAACGTGCCTGGAACTTATTGCCCTCATGAAAATACCTGTCACGATCTGGCTTCGTAATCAATTCCACTAAAGGTTGCTTAGGACGCACTGTTATTTTTATTAAAAGCGAAATCAAAGAAAATATTTTTCTTATATTAAAAATTTCAATTTAATTAATAATAATGCAGGATATACACGCAAATACATATAGCGAGACGTGGAGGGAAAAAAAAAGTCATAAACTTACATGCTACCACTAAATCAATTGTTCCAGACAACTCTTCCCCTTCCACACCCAAATTGCATTTGACCTGTCCATTGTTAATCGCCTTTACATGTTCAATTCTAACACCACACTCTCCTGCTTGCAGCCCTTTACCATTGTATATGAAGCCTGGTGTTTTATCCCAGTCGGGCGATAAATTGAATACTTTTGTCTCACCGGGAATTTCAATACGACAGTACGTTATGGGTCGTCCGTAGCGACACAACAAATCTTGCTGAGCGCCTTCATTAAGTACAGCGGTGTTCGGCTCTACATTGACTTGCGCACGTGCCAATGAATCTGTAATTGAAATAAATTAAAAAAACATTTTTACATAAAGAAGTAAAATGCACATTCATTCAAATGTAAACGTAGCTATTGAAAACGGAAAAGAAAAGTATGCTTAGGATAGCATAGGATATTTAATTTTTTTTTTTTTTTTTTTTTTTTTTATGAAAACGAGACAATGGCGAGCAATGTTCAATAGAAGCAATGACATAGTATCGAATTTAACTAATTTACTCTTGATTGTGTGGACATTCGAAGTAACTACTATTCAGTTACTCGGTCATATCTCAATGAACTTTAATGGAGATTTATGTGTTTACGCAGTGGTTGGAACAACATAGGTCAAAACTTGACGCAAAAGTTTGGTTATATCTTGTAAGCAAGTTTGACTTTTTCCTGAGAAAACGCCACTGCTAGGTTTTACACTATAATATTATCTAAAAATGCGAACAAATCTGCTTTTCTTCCAAATTGATATCAGCATTGATGCAAATAGGGCCGTAGTGTACCGGGATCTTCCGAAATATCTGCGATGGCACCCATTTCGTGAAATCCGCCCGGGATCAGATAGCTGTATTCTATTCAGAGTGTATTACCCCATCCGCTTGCATTGAGTAGACATGGCTTACTTTCATTAGCACCTATTTTAGTCGAAGGCTTATTGTTCGTGTGAACAGTGGTATTATTCTTTTTGCAAGATTCAAAGATAGATCGGTTCATGATATTTAAAAATGTGTTCTTCCGACACGAAATTCATATTCCTTCGGGAAAATGTGATGGCATAGATGTGTGGCATAGATTACCCTTCCTCGCTCGTTAGTTCCCTTTTTTGTTTGCCACTCTGTTAAAACTGTGGTAAGAGACCTTCCTTGGATAGGTCCACCCAGAATTTTGTGGTTTCTCGACTATTAACAATTCTCTCAGGATTGTTTTTCATTGTTGCCTATTACCAATTCCAACGGCGGCATAAAAGACATATTGTATTCCCCTAGTAGTCCAGATTAAGAAAACTTGCGTACTTGGCTATTATTTTATTCGGAATCTCGTGCTTTCTGACGTTTCCATAAAAATTTGCTCTATACGCATTCCATATATATGAAAATGACTCATTTCCATCTTATTTTGGATAAATAGAGTGTTTTTATAGTGTCGTTCTCGCTCCCTTTCTCCTTCCCTCTATTTGTCTCTGCCCCTCCCTGGGAATTATTTTTCTGCCGTGTTGTCACTTCTAAATGAGTTTAACGCGATTTTTACGGTAAGATCGTATATCAGGCTTTAACTTAAGCGGGTAAAGGAACCACTTCGTGGGAATAAGGTTTTATTTATTTTCATAATATATATAGGGTAAAGACAAGAGATTTTTATGGAACAGAGGGGTCTGTTTGCTTAAACTTATTTCTAAGAGCTTTAATCAGGCCATTTTTGACTATTGATAAAATTGCTGTTGTATTGAACTGACTTATTCAGCTTAAGTAAGACAAAAATTTAAAGTTGAAAGAAAAGTCCAAACTTTTCTGCTCTTTTTCACATTTTCAGGCAATCGAGTTTCACAAATGGAATAAAGAATTTAGTTTATTTCAATTCTTTAAATAGAGGTTATATATGTGTTTGTAAGGAAAGCAAATATAGTTATACTGATTGCGTATATATTTTTGTGTGCCAGTAGTTGATTTCTTTTTGACCTAAATTGACTTATATTTAACATTCTGTCATAAATTAAAAAAGAAAAAAGAAAAGGAAAAAAAAAGTTAACTAAAAAATGCAACGTTTCGGTTTTATTTGCTGCTAATACACTCATACACATATTTGGATATATATGCGCACACACATATGAGTGCAGGGGATTCTATGTGTATGCACAACTTGAACTAAACTGAAAACTGTCCTTATTTAGCTTACTCGGTTGGTTATGTGCTGTTAAAATGGAAAACAATTTTATTGGATGGTGTGTTGAAAAGTTTCTCTTGTCTTTCTTTTTGCATTTTTTTTTTTTTTTACACATTTTCACTGCAGTATAACTGTTAACAGTTTACGGAGATAGACTGACCAAGAAGTGAATGAACTGACGGCGTGAAGAGACACTGGAATAGCGTATAAAAATGTTTATCTATTAAAGTATATTAATCTCTAAAAATCTGAACATATTGTATATGAACAAAGTTATTTACATAGTGTTTTCAATGGTTTTTCTACTATGAGTATAGTTAAGGAATTTTTTACTGAAAAAATCTACAACTTTTTCATGAAAAGAACAAACGCTAAACGATTATGTAGAGTAAAATGTAAAAGACGTGTCCGTCCCCAAGAGTTTAACTATGGAATCGTCAAGGCCACGAATTTGATATCACTTTTTATAAGAGGTTTTAAATTATTTTAACCGATTTCAGGTCGTCAACGGTCAAATAGCCGATCAACGGCTATAGGCGATCAACGGTGGTAGACAACCAACGTCCATAGGTGACCAGCGATCATAAGGGGCCGATGCCTATTGAGGAAAATTATGGCAAAAATGTATATATTCCTTCAGTTTGTGCGTTTCCTTGCTCTCGTTGTGTATTTAACTTCCCTTGCGATGGCGCGTTTACCAGCTCATATTAGAACGTAGTTTGTGACACAAAAACATCTGAGAAAAGCGTTAGCTTTCTATATCGCATTTTGAACAATAGACAGCCAGAGCGACGGACGACTCGATTAAGCTGTTCTTTCTTCTCACAGCCGTCTTCGCATGTAATATGACCGGCAGCCCAAATACAAAAAAAGGAAGCATACTCGCAACATTATATATAATAACATTATGCTATGGCTTGTTCAGAGGGAGGTGCATCTTCGTCTTTTATTAAAAAAATAAAAAGGTTTTAGCTTGTTTTTAATCATAGCTTTGCAGTTTTGAAGAAAAGAGAACCTTTTTTTTTAATAAGAAGATATTGCACGCAGTTGAGGAGTAAGTGGACCTCACGCTTTACAACCTACGATCGTTGCTGTTTGAAACTTCCCTCCTAAGCAACATATCCGGACTCGATGCTTAACTCACCGAATAGGCAATTTTTGCTGTTTGTTTTTAGGGGGAGAGAGAATGGCACGGGGCGCAAGAAGCGGTTTAAATGATGCTGCATACCTTTCTAGTCCTTCAAATCTAAGAATCATTGAATTCCTTCGAAATTGATTCTATTTTCTGAGCATATTTCCACTGAACTCTTTGTTTTCACAGCTACTTCGCTAAGCTTCTCCCTGTAGTGCTCTATAGCACTATATATATATTTCTCCACCCATTGCTGTTTTGTATCTCTCTTCGTTTACCTATCATTTACCTAGCATTTCACAGAGTGCTTGGACCCTTATAGTTCCTCTGAACTCCGCAGTGTTATTGCGGAATATGGCGACTGTTAGCAGATTCAATCAACGTTGGCTGTAATTTGAAGTTTTTTTTTTTTTTTTTTGATTCTAAATTCGATTTTGTAATTTTTTACTTTTCTCTTTTTCGAGGAGATTCTTCTTTAAAGGATATATGAAAACTCATTGAAGCAATGAATTTTGTATTATAGATCAAACGCATTTCGCTTTAGTTTTAAAGAAATGATGAATTATGTATACGTATAAGCAGAAAAAAGGCAATACATAAATCATATAAAGTTGAAGAGCAGAAGAACAGATGTTATAGATGCCAGATGAAGAGGGATGCAAACAATGAAAGGTTAGAAAAACTAAACAAGAATTCATTTGAGAAGCAATTGATACCGCGGGATAAGATATTGTAATTTCCGATTACAGGCGCATAGAATGAATGAAATTGGAGATCATTCGAATAAAAATGCATTTAAACGCATACAAATGAGTTTGCGTTGAATATTAAGTAACTGTGTAAAAGGAGACGACGTACTCAGCAAAATTTAGTTTTGCCAACCAAATACTTTTGTGCAAATTTAAGAAGAAATTCTTATGCATTTTTGCTTTATGTTCATCGCATACAATCGTCTATATATCTATCTATCGAATTTATTAATTCTTTTGCTTCTCATTTAATAAGAAATGAGAAGTGTGTGTGTGTGTGTGTGTGTGTGTGCATGGTTTTGTATGATATTCCCGGAAATGAAAACGTGATATGCCAAGAGCAGCAGTCTCTGTGCTGTGCAGTTTCATCTTCACTAAGATCTTTATCGCCAACACTATCAACAACAATAGCATTGTGACAGCGACAAGCAAGCACAGGCGACAGTAACTATACGAAAAAGCTTCACTCAATCATTTTAAATGCAATTGCAATCATTTCTACAGTTGTGTGTGCGCTGGTGGGGCAGAGTATTTCATCAGCAGTTTATACAGCAACCAATATCAACATTTATTGCACAATGATTTCAGGCAATTTTCTTCATGTATCATACTGTTTATATATATATATCTATATATATGTATATATGCGTGCATATATAAAAGTACCTCGAAAAAGAATAAGCAAATATAAATAGATGCAACTTTGGGCAGCTCTTAGATACCTTACACACTCATGGGAATTTCTAATTTCCCTTTAATGCCCTTTACACAATATTTATGTGAAATACTTGCATTTTTTAATATGTAATTACGTCAGACATCCCAACGTGACATTTGCTATAAGTTGAAAGTTGCCGCTGAAGAAGTTTAAAACTTTTAATTTCCTTTTTGAATATTTCGTATTTTTACGATAGAGTTTACTAAAATTCTTTTAAGCTTACCTTAAGTGAGAGCAAGCACAGTGACTTTCAGGTCTGTACTTTAAATTTCGCCCATTATGATAAAGTCAATAAAGCGGATGGGCATGGTGGGGCAAATGGTGGGGACTTAAATTTAGACTGTCACCTTGGAGAAGATGTACGCTTTGGAAAACTATCGATGCATTAGCAAGGCAAGAAAATACCAGGCAGATGGACAGACTAGTTTATAGCGTAGGAACAAATATATAGTTTGTTATGAGCGCACGAGATAATAAAACAAGAGCCTGTAAGGTAGGATTAAACAGATTTACAATTTCATTGTAG